GAAATTGGAGCCCTTGTACAGATATAGAAATATGCATATATCTATATGTGTGGGTATATGTGAATCTCTCATTTTAAGTTGTTTTTCATGGAAAGAAGTTTTAACACATGTTTGAAAAGGTTGCTACTTTAAACTACTGAAGTTTAGCTTCTCCAAATTGAAAGGAAACACACTTCACTAGTAAAATCTGGAAATGAGGACTTTATAGTAGTCTCTCACTACTTTAAATATGTAAGTTAATTAATAAAAAAGAGTATATCAGCAAAATACAGAAAAACATATAAAGTCATAAGTATATTCATGATGTATATGTATATTTTTAACAATCTCAATCATTAGTGGCTACAATAAAAAATACTATCTTGGTGGATACATTTTAAGAAGGATTTTTATATTTGTGACACCAAGATTGTCAATAAAATTCTTAATAAAAGCAAACTTTTAAAGTTTATGTTTAAACTCATCAAGTATAAATTATCTTAAAAAAAAGATCTTTTCAAAGAAGTTACTAGGTTGATCTCAACTAAAAATACGCTAAAATACAGAAAGGAAAGGAGCAGAAGGAGGTACTAAGTATATACAAATTAGTACTTTTTAGCATATCGGATGCTGTTGTACATGTTAATTTTGACACCCATCCTTCTCCCATTTATGTGAATCAAGGAAGGCTGCCTCACCCTTTCCTTATCCACTTCCTTGTTTCAGTCACATGATCCAGGCCTGGCCAATCACAGGAAACTATTTCCTTGGTGCGATGGATTCAAGGGAGGGCACATAACTCAAGCAGGGCCCAATCAGACTATCTCCCTCGAAATGAGCTATGGGTTGTGGAGAAGAAGGGGCACTCTTTCTGCTCAGTTAGAAAAACTAGCAATATTAAAGCCTGTTGGGGGCTGTATTTCCTGGCTTCAGAGAGGAAGCTCATCAGCAGTAGGATAGACATGGGTTATTATACCAAAAAAGTAAAGGTGGAATGAGGTGAGGGGAGAGAGAACTTCAGCTAGCCAGCCCAGGTGACATTTAGGCCCTAGATGCTGTCTTATACCTAGATTTCTCAGCTATTTATGAGTCAATAACTTTCCTTTTTGCTTAAGCCAGTTTGAATTGGTTTCTGCAATCCTCAATATGAAGACAATCCTAAAATACAAATATTGTTGGTTTAATTTGTTTTCATTAAAGGAAGATTTATATTTGTGTTTAAAGACACAGTCACTTTAAGGATACAAAAAACAAATCAATATTCTTTGGTAAAATATTTATTTTTGTAGATAAAGAGTTTAAAAACATTTTTCATTTTCTTTACGTTTAAAATAGCTGAATGTTAAGCAGATTAGTATCAAAAACATGTTAGTAAAAATATTTCTGAGTAGGAAGAGGTAGGGAGAGGGTGCAGCAGGTATTCAACTCACTTTTCAATGTCAACTACAGCACACACAAAATTATTATTATTTTTTTTTTTTTGAGACAAAGTCTCACTCTCTTGCCTGGGGCGAGTGCCGTGGCGTCAGCAACCTCAAACTTCTGGGCTCAAGCAATCCTACTGTCTCAGCCTCCCAATTAGCTGGGACTACAGGCATGCGCCACCATGCCTGGCTAATTTTTTTCTATATATTTTTAGCTGTCCAATTAATTTCTTTCTAGTTTTGGTAGAGACGGGGTCTGGCTCTTGCTCAGGCTGGTTTCGAACTCCTGAGCTCAAACAATCCGCCTGCCTCGGCCTCCCAGAGTGCTAGGATTACAGGCGTGAGCCACCACGCCTGGCCCACATAAAATTATTAATATGTCATATGACACTGTTATATTAGTGGTGGTCTGTCAAAGGTCTATGTGAAGGCAATGGGTAGTCCTAAGAAAAAAGCAAAACACTAAAATTGCTGACTGAGATTGTACATACTATATAAAGATCTCTGGGGTAGTTAAAAATGTAACAATTTCAACTTTGATATTATATTAATAGTAGCCAGTGAGACTTACTTCATTTACTCAAACTATATACACTTTGGTCTTTTCTCTTCTGAATTCTTATCAAGACAGTTATATCCTGTTCTTTGTCTTGGTAAGTAGGCTCCTGCAACCAGAACAATTTAATGCCTAATAAAATAAAGGAAAAGAAAGCCAGCTGTTCTAGGTAGGATGGGCTTCTGCTCTTGATCTAGGATCCTTTACTTCCCTGTAGTCCCCCGTCTCTTGCTTGTTAGCTACTGACAGACCACGCTGCTTTTTAACACCAGTTCTTTGATATTTCTATTATCTCTGGCACTCTTGTGATCAAGGTCTCCAGCAATGACCAGTCACAAATTTTGACATTTCTTATTTGTCCTATATTTTCTAGCCAGTGTCTGCCAGCCAGTGACTGAGGAGTAGTAATTATATTAGATGGAGAACCCAGCTCAGTAAACACTAAAAAAAAAAAAAAAAAAAATGGAACCAGTGGCCAGGCAGTGGCTCACACCTGTAATCCCAGCACTTTTGGTGGCTGAAGCAGGAGGACTGCTTGAGGCCAGGAGTTTGAGACTATCCTGAGCAACACAGCAAGACCTCGTCTCTACAAAAAATAGAAAAATCAGCCAGGTGTGGTTGTGTGTGCTTATAGCTCCAGCTACTCGGAGGCTGAGACAGGAGGATGGCTTGAGCCCAGGAGTTCAAAGTTACAGTGAGCTATGATAAGGCCACTGTACTTCAGCCTGGGCAACAGAGTGAGACCCTATCTCTAAAAATAATAATAATAATGATAATAATACTAAATAAAACCAGCCTAGGTGAGACACTGTCTCTAAAAATAATAATAATCACAGTAATAACAATAGTAAGTTTGATTTTTTTTGTTTTTTTTAAAAAGAACTTTTTGGTTGAAACAAGGTTTACAATCACTTTAAATCTAAATTTTGTCTTAGTAGACCGAAAAATAAGAACTACATAAAATGGACATTTTTAGGCATTATACTACTTAGACTTTTTTGCTAGTATCAAAAGATCCATCAATAAAAGACTGGTTAAACAGTCATTCAAAATAGTATAATGTTATGCAGCAAATGATATACCTTCATATTTCCTGATATAGAAAGCCACTTCCCAAAGTATTAAGTGAATAACAGAAAGGTATAAAATAACATGTATACAATGATTTTATTGTTTAAATTTACATACGTGTGCCCATATATGTGCATGGAAATAGATCCAGTAAAACATGTCAAAGGTTTTCAGTGGTTATCTCAGGGCAGAGAGATTTGGGGTATTTATTATATCATTTTGTAGTAACTATTTCCCAATTAATAGCTTTATTAGAAAAAAAAAAAAAATCTATTTTCACTTTTTAAAAAATACCCGGAAAAGTAAATCTGAAACAAAACTGGATACTGTAATCATTGTGTAGAATAAGGGTCAAATGCCTATATTCTGAGCCAAGTCTGAGCTATATCATCTGAAATTTTAATATGTATTAAAAGGGCTCAATTTAATTACACAACAAGAACTCACCGTAGTCAGGACTTTGTTTTTAATTTCATCTTTCTGTACTATTGTTCTTTCTTCCTTAATTATGCCTTTGGTTTCACCTTTTCCTACCATTTGCCTCTGTCCAGCCTTTCTTACGTTTGGTCTGGGTCGCTGAAGTCGGCCCCTTATTGGTTGAGCACTTTGGATAACACTTTCCTTCATTTCTTGTTGTAAAGTGTTTATATTATGAGTCCTAGAAAAGGGAACAGGGCGAAAGAGAGGGAGCTTGACTGTAAAAAGTTGAAAACTACTATTTGAATCTCTAATAAACTCTCTATAAAAATATTTTTGTACCATTAAAGGAAAATTACATTCTGGTTATAAACATATTTTATTTTATAAATTAGTTATTTCAATTCTCAAAAGGTAATAAACTTCTATTATGTACCTAGAGTAGCCAAATCTATGAAGTAGAATGGTGGTTGCCAGGAACTGGAAGAAGGGGGGAATGGAAAATTAATATTTCATGGGTACAGAGTTTCAGTTTGAGAAGATAAAAAAATCTCGGGAGATCAACGGTAGTGGTGACTGCACTATGATGTAAATGTACTTAATGCTACCGGATTGTACTTTAACAGGGTTAAAATCATAAATTTTATGTATGTATTTTGTCAATTTTTAAAAAGGTAATGAATATATAGCTTATATACATACAGGTTAAGTATGCCTTATCCATAATGCTTAGGACCAGAAGTGTTTCTGATTTTCGATTTTTTCAAATTTTGGAATATTTGCATTTATACTTACTTGTTGAGCATCTCTAATTTGAAAACCTGAAATGTTCCAATGAGCAAGTTCCTTTGTGCATCATGTCAGCTCTCAAAAAGTTTTGACTTTTGGAACATTAGATCTTCAGACTAGGGATGCTCAACCTGTATCTTTTTAATGCATTGCTCTGTATAGTATCTTAAGCAGCTAACAATGAAGATAAACAGAGGCAAGTGTTAATAGTTATTGGAGTCAATCCGATTGTCTATTCTAGGCAGTCTGCCATATCAATAAAATTACATCAAGTATTCTTTATATTTACTTTTAAAATACATTAACATATCTTAATTTAAAAAATGAAAAAATCTTTGAAAGAAGTCTTTCTCTTATTTTAGATTTTCAAAGAAATATCACTGTTTACCCCATCGAAACAACTAAATCATTTTCCTTGGCTTGTGCTGACTGAGACTCCTCTTTAGGTTCACAAGGATTTGAAAGTGAAAGGTCCTTTTCTGTCTGTGTACATGATAATATCACAGACTCCTCCTTCTCGTGACCTGGTTTGTCTTTTTCTCTTGATGTCATTAGGAAAGACTCATCCTAGAAAGCAGAAAAAAACAATTTCATTCAGGGTTGGTAAAAAGTATAGGGAAATAAGAACTTTCATATACTATTAAAAGAATAAACAGCTACAGTCTTTGTAGAGGACAAATAGAGTAGTATCTATCAAAATTTGAAATTTCCAGCAATTCCACTTCTAGAAATTTATCTTATAAAAGTAGTCAAACAAGTATGTAGAAAGGTATATACAAAGATATTTATCGTAGCAATTTAAGAGCTTCCCCCCCCTCAACAAAAGAAAAAATAAACAAAAAGTTAGAAATAAGACAGCAGTAGGGGGCTGAAAAAATAAATTTTAATTTCTTTACAATGCGATAGTGTATAGCCATTTAAAGGAACATAAAATTTCTTTGTACTGATCCAAAAAAGATATTCACAATACTGTGTTAAGTGGAAAAATCAGAAGATAAATAATGATGCCATATTTGGAAAACAATAAAAAAACTTGCACATTTTATGATTTTATAAATAAGTACACAAAAAAAGTCTATGTGGATATATTCAGAATTGCTATATGATTTAATTTGGGAAGGAAGGATGGAACATTATAAAGAACTCTCAATTTTAAGGATATATTTTTTCCAAACTGAAATTTTTATAATCAGAAAATATAATAGTGATTTATCTTTTATAAATATAAGGTTAGAAGTACAAATGTTGATGCATAGTAAAAGAACTATGCTATTTTCAGATGTCAAATAAGAATTTAACTCCAGAAAGTACTTTTATGTGGAAAACACATAATTTATGAGTATTAAGATTTCACATCAAAGTTTTTGATGTCATATCATATAATTTTAATCTGTTATGAACCAAGTTGATGAAATAAGTATCTTCTTTAACTCATATCAAGCTTTTAAGTTTTCACTTCACCTTCATAACAGATTGAAATAAATGACTATTATTGCCATTTTTCTTAGGAAGACACTTGTTACATCATTTGGCTATTGTCACATAGCTGGAACTTGAACTAGAGCCCAGACCTCCTAAATGCTTTCCTGTGACACACCTGTCCATCATCAGATATCTGAGATTATTACACAAACTACATGGAACAATGAGGTACATTAAGCACAGGAACCATATCACACATGGTAAAAGTTACATAAAGAAAATATTTGTAAAATTTTAAAGCCAGATGTTTTATTTTTAGTAATCATGACAACGAAAAAAAAAACTGCACATACAGAACCTACATCTTACATATCACTCACATGTTGCGAAGGGAGAGTATCAGCTTGTTCACTGTTCTGTTGTATCACTATAGTCTTCATTTTGTCAGTTTCTGATTTCTTCCCAGATACATATTTTTCTGCTTCGGTAGTCTCTCTCTTTAAAGCTGCTCTTGCTAAGTTTGGTCTTGGTCTTTTGAATCGACTTCTCATAAAAGGTGCTGGTTTAACTTCAAGTGGCTTCTGTTCTTGAGGAAAAGATTTGCTTTTGGAACAAGGATTATCAAACTTTAGAATGAACTGGAGGAACAGTGAGAACGATGGAGTCTAATTTGGACAAGCTTAAAGTAAACATTTAATTCTAATTCTTTTTTTTTTTTTTTTGAGACAGCATCTCACTCTGTTGCCTGGCTAGAGTGCAGTGGCACCATCAGAGCTCACTGGAACCTCTAACTCCTGGGCTCCAGTGATCCTCCTGCCTCAGCCTCCCAAGTAGCTGGGACTACAGGCGCACGCCACCACACCCAGCTAATTTTTTCTATTTTTAGTAGAGATGGGGTCTTGTTCTTGCTCAGGCTGGTCTCAAACTCCTGGCATCATGCAATCCTCCCACCTCAGCCTCCCAGAGTGCTAGGATTATGGGTGTGAACCACAGGCCCGGCCTTAATTCTAATACTTAACAAGAAAACAAAATTAACTACTTGGTAAATCCTAAAAAACATGAATAGTACAATCCAGGCATAAGCCAAGGAACTATATCACCTTTGCATGAAGAAAAACACAAGTCTTTCGAACCTGTGCTACTTTAGGAGTATTACATACAATTTTGTATGTGTTAGCAATTTTCACAATCAACTGTCAGAATGACCTCAATCCTCTCTCCCAGTCTTTCCAAAACTATCTTAAAATCCCTATCTGTATATTATGCCTTGAAACCTTACTTACTTTAAAATAATCTGCAAATATAACTTTACATGCTTTTTCTTTAAAAACACACTGTACCTTAAATTAACATCTGAAAACTGCTCTGGAACATCTGGAGGTCGCATCCCCAGGTCTTCTGTTTTACCAAATTCAGAAGTCTGTGAAGAAGTCTTGAAGTGACTTGGTACTTTCTTTTCAGAATTTCTTTTTTCTTCTACAGATGTATGCATCACCAATAGTACTTCACTGCTAATATTCTGGAGGAATAGTCACAGTGAACCAGCACATATAGAAGACTCCTTAAATATTTCATACATTTCAAACAAAATAAAAGACTATATTCTAAACACTTTCCTTTAAAAATTTAGAAGTCCATTTTCAATTTTTAAATAAAATTGCTTACAAATGTTAAAATCTAAAATCCAGGAAACTCTTTCTTTTATATTGCATATTATGACTTTCCCAAACCACAAATGCCATTTCCTGTTAGAAAAAAAGTCCTTGAAAAATGTTAAAAGAGCATGAATTTCAAATAACTGGAAATACTTAATGAAAAGAACATTTAGAAGTGGAGTGGGGCAGGAAATAAAAAGAGAAACCACATACGGATACGGCCAAAAGAAATAATTCCAATGCATGTTCATATTAAGGTTAGTACAAATTCAGTCCAATTTCCTACACTCCTTTTACCTAAAAGAGTTACTTCAAACTGACATTAAAAATAGTAACTTCTCCGACCAGGGCACAGTGGCTCACACCTGTAATCCTAGCACTTTGGGAGGCTGAGGCGGGAGGATTGTTTAAAGTTAGGCGTTTGAGACCAGCGTGAACAAGACAGACCCCGTCTCTACAAAAAAACAGAAAAATTAGACAGGTGTGGTGGTGTGTGCCTGTAGTCCCAGCTACTAGGGAGACTGAGGCAAGAGGATGGCTAGAGCCCAGGAGTATGAGGTTGCAGTGACCTATAACAATGCCACTACACTCTAGCCTGGGTGACAGAGTGAGACCCTGTCTCAAAAAAGAAAAAGAATAGTAACTTCTGATCCTTTTATAGGTCATAAGCCTGATGACTGGGTTTTTACACTCATGTGTGAGATGTACCTCCCTCAAACTTTGTCACAATGTTGGCACATTACCTGTCTGACTTGGAAAAGGAAAGAAACAAAAGAATTTTTTCCATGATTGGAAATTTTAAAAAGTTTTTTTTTTTAAAAAAAAAAAAGAATAGGCCAGGCGCGGTGGCTCACATCTGTAATCCTAGCACTCTGGGAGGCTGAGGTGGGAGGATTGCGTGAGGTCAGGAGTTTGAGACCAGCCTAATCATGAGCCAGACCCCATCTCTACTAAAAGTAGAAAGAAATTAGCCAGAGAACTAAAAATATATAGAAAAAATTAGCCAGGCATGGTGGCGCATACCTGTAGTCCCAGCTACTCAGGAGACTGAGGCAGAAGGATCGCTTGAGCCCAGCAGTTTGAGTTTGCTGTGAGCTAGGCTGACATCACAGCACTCTAGCCCGGGTACCAGAGCAAAAGTCTGTCTCCAAAAAAATAAATAAATGAAAGAATAATTTCTTCAAGGCCCTGAAACATAGAAATTTAGGGCTAGAGGG